ACCTTACAACTCTAATGTCAAAACGAATATCGGACACAAATTCCTACAAGCAATTGATGATTGCTTCCCTAAAAGCAATCCTCTCCATAAAATATTTAACAGAAATACCTTGAAGCTGAGTTACAGTTGCATGCCCAACATTCGTAATATAATTTCTGGGCACAATAAATCTGTAGTAAATAAGCTCACCTCAACAGATGCGTCAACATGCAGCACGAAACCAAGACAATGCAATTGCAGGAATAAGTCCTCGTGTCCACTGCCCGGTAAATGTCTAACATCCAGCGTAGTATACCAAGCAACGGTTGTTAGAACGATACGAATCAAAAGGAATCGTATGTCGGACATACTGAAGGACAGTTCAAATCCAGATATTATTGCCACACTAGCTCATTCAGATTAAGCAAGTATAGAAATGCCACAGAGCTGAGCAAATACATCTGGCAACTTAAAGAGTCGAAGGTCAAGTACTCCATAAACTGGCGTATTATTAAGCAATGCAAGAGCTACAACAACACAACGAAACGCTGCAGTCTTTGTACACATGAGAAATTCATCATAATCTACCACCCTAAACTTTGTTCTTTAAATTCAAGAAGTGAACTTTTGTCGAAATGCAGACATAGAAACAAATTTCTCTTAAGCAATATACATTACTTAATATAATCTGTATATATATGTAATCTATACGTAATTTAATACTTGAACATTCCGTTTACGTCAAACATGTATATAGCATATATAACCTTGGCAACAACATAGCGCGACATTTAAATTCACCTGATGAGTGTGGCAAGCATTGCTTGTCATACGAAACAAGTTTGTAGTGAATAAATCTTATGAAGTAAACCAGGTTTATTTTATCTTTATCTATATTAGCTCTATACTTCGGTATATCGAGCATTCTACAAATATATGATTCTAAATACATATTTGGTATATATATATATATATATATATATATATATATATATATATATATATATATATATATATATATATATATATATATATATATATATATATATAGGTAAGTCCTACATTAGAGATACAGGATATTTCCTGGATAAACTAAAAGAAATTGGAAAGATACCCGAAAATGCTTTATTAGTTACCGCTGATGTTACGAGTTTTTACCCCAGCATCCCACACGATGATGGTCTACGCGCCCTACATGCAAAATTAGAGGAACGTAAGGATAAGAAAGTGCCGTCAGAAAATCTGACTAAAATGGCGGAGTTTGTTTTAAAAAACAACTATTTCGAGTTTGACGGTGATATTTATTGTCAAAATTCCGGTACGGCTATGGGAACTAAATTCGCTCCACCATATGCATGTATTTTCATGGATATGGTTGAGACTGAATTCTTAAAGCAACAGAGTGTGAAGCCTTGGATTTGGTTACGCTACATAGATGACGTATTTTTTGTCTGGTTAGAAGGAGAGGACAAACTCCTGCAATTTATGTCGAGACTCAATGAATTTCATCCTAATCTCAAATTTACATACGAGTATTCGCATAATAGAGTAAATTTTCTTGATGTCGTAGTTGAAAATGCTGGTGGTAATTTCATTACAAGTTTGTTTTGTAAACCTACTGATTGCCACCAGTATCTTCACTATGATTCATCACACCCTGCACATGTTAAAAGGTCTATAGTATATAGTCAGGGTCTACGCATCAAGAAGATTTGCTCAAGAGAGGAAGACGCTGATAAACATTTGCAGGAATTGTCAGGTTGGCTGCAAAATAGAGCCTACCCAATGTGGCTTATTAGGAAAGAATTTGAGAGGTTGCAATCTTGTGATAAAGCATCTGACAAAAAAACAAAAAATAGGAGTACCTTTGACAATTACGTTTCATCCTCTGTTAAAGGACTTTGGTCTTATAATCCGTAAATATATACATCTATTATACTTAGATCCAGAAG